CGGTGAGAAGGAGAGTCAGGAGGGGAAGAAACACACAGACACAATTAATCGTCGACTCCCAGGAACATCTGGGAAGATATGGGCAGTGGGGGGGAAGACAAAAACCCAGAAAATATTTGAAAATATTGGGAATCCTGTTCTTTGTGTGTATTTACTTGTGTGTCCCAGGGCCCCTTCAGAGAAGGCCTTCTCAGAAGGCTCGGAAGTTCCACGGCTTTCTGACAAGTTTTCTAAGCCTTCCCCGAAGACAAAAACAATTCCTCAGAAGGCGCGAGGGCTTCTGAGAAGTCCCGTCGCCTACTTAGAAGGCCTTCTCCTTCTCATTTCTTCCCCTCGCTCGCCGCCCACTAGTACCAGCCGCCGCTCGGCCGCATTCAGCATTTCGCCTCGTTATCCTTCATTATTTCCCTAGCGGCCCTGGCGCTCTCTCCTCCCCGCTCTCTCCTCTCGTTTCGCGTGCGGCAGCTCGCTCATCCGTCGGGCCACGGTTCAATTCATGTGCTTGCCTATCGCAGGTCGGCTCGCATGGTATTCCCGGTTTGCCTGGCGACCTTTTGATTTGATTCGCACAGCGGTCGAGGCCGAGTCGGGCGAAGCTCTGTGGGCTCGTTCTGTCTTTTTCTTTCCCCCCGCCAAAAAAGAATCAAAAAAGAGGGCCCAACATCTAACACACACACACACACACACACACACACGCACACATTTCACTCAAGCCGCATCCTCGTCAGGGACGGCGTTGTATCACATGTGTGTTAAATGGTTGGGTCTATTGGGCCGTTCGTGGAGATCATGGCGCCCCTTCAAGCCCTCCCAGGCCGAGTGCCCCCGAACGTTCTCACACTTAATACGAATTTGACACACACACACACCGCTTCCTCGTCAAGTACGGCGCTGTGTTAGATGTGTGCTAAATGTGTGGGTCTCTTGGGCCGTTCCTGGAGCTCCCCAGGCGCCCCTTCGAGCCCTCCCAGGCAGTCCTGCAGAGCTCTCCTGTGGGCTTGTGAAAGTCTCAGGGGCCCCAAAAAAGTTATCCCGGCAAAGCAACCTAACAGCGATGTGTAGGAGCATATCTGGAAGCATTCCCCTTAAGATTCACATGAGAATCCAGTTGTAGAATTCTGATGTTCTCGCAGTCGCAGTCGCATTCGCGATGAAAGTCGCAGTGGCAACGGCAGTCGCAGTCACAGCCTCAGCCTGCCTCAGCCTCAGCCTCAGCCTGCCTCAGCCTCAGCCTCAGCCTGCTTCAGCCTCAGCCTCAGCAGCCTCAGCCTCTCAGCCTTCAGCCTCAGCCTCAGCCTCAGCCTCAGCCTGCCTCAGCCTCAGCCTGCATCAGCCTCAGCCTCAGCCTCAGCCTGCCTCAGCCTCAGCCTCAGCCTGCCTCAGCCTCAGCCTCAGCCTGCCTCAGCCTCAGCCTCAGCCTCAGCCTCAGTCTGCCTTCAGCCTCGGCCTCAGCCTCAGCCTCAGCCTCAGCCTCAGCCTCAGCATCAGCCTCAGCCTCAGCCTCAGCCTGCCTCAGCCTCAGCCTCAGCCTGCTTCAGCCTCAGCCTCAGTCTGCCTTCAGCCTCGGCCTCAGCCTCAGCCTGCCTCAGCCTCAGCCTGCATCAGCCTCAGCCTCAGCCTCAGCCTGCCTCAGCATCAGCCTGCCTCAGCCTCAGCCTCAGCCTGCCTCAGCCTCAGCCTCAGCCTGCTTCAGCCTCGGCCTCAGTCTGCCTTCAGCCTCGGCCTCAGCCTGCCTCAGCCTCAGCCTGCATCAGCCTGCCTCAGCCTCAGCCTGCCTCAGCTCAGCCTCAGCCTCAGCCTCAGCCTCAGCCTGCTTCAGCCTTCAGCCTCAGCCTCAGCCTCAGCCTGCCTCAGCCTCAGCCTGCCTCAGCCTCAGCCTGCCTCAGCATTCAAAATGTGGCCCGGGAATGGAGTTCTGGGAACTCGAAGACCACGAAGTGGCCTACAGTTGGCTCCGGGCACCCAGGTGGCCCGGGAATGGAGTTCTGGGAACTCGAAGACCACGATGTGGCCTACAGTTGGCTCCGGGCACCCAAAATGTGGCCCGGGAATGGAGTTCTGGAAACTCGAAGACCACGAAGTGGCCTACAGTTGGCTCCGGGCATCCAAAATGTGGCCCGGGAATGGAGTTCTGGGAACTCGAAGACCACGAAGTGGCCTCCAGTTGGCTCTGGGCATCCAAAATGTACGCCGGGAATGGAGTTCTGGGAACTCGCAGACCACGAAGTGGCCTACAGTTGGCTCCGGGCATCCAAAATGTACGCCGGGAATGGAGTTCTAGCAGCGCCAAGAGCGATTTTGCGAGGATGTCCCAAGCGATTTGGGCTTCGACGGCAGCCGCCCCGGGTCCCGCCCCGACCCCCCTGAGGAGTCATGATGCTTTCTTTTGAGCCTACTAGAAACCTATCAGTCTTCGCTGTTAGGTAATTGTTCCTCGTAGAGGACGGGCTTGTGTCAAATGCGTGTTGTTTGCTGTGTCTGTTTAGGGCGCTCCCAGAGCTGCCTTGGGGCCCCTTCGAACCTTCCCAGGCCGTCTTGGATTCGCGTAAGACGAATCGCAGTATGCGCCCAGAGGTTATCCCGGAACATCCGAGCGATGCTTCCGGAAGCCTTTCGGGGACATCTGCATCGATGTCCCAACAAAAATCCCAGTGAATATCCGAGTGGACATTAAGAATCACGCCGCAGGAACAAGAGGTAGAGAAGAAGTGTCGATGACGACGAGGAGGACGACGACGACCCCCGATGGTCCCCAGATGTCTCAGGGTGTCTCCTGAGTTCTGGCACGGGAGGCCGCGGAATGGCCAAGCACGTCGAAACCCCAACAAAAACATGCAGAGTGGACGACGACGGCGACGCGGGCCGCGCCTGTAGCGGCGGCGGCGGCCAGAGCCCGCACGGTGGACGAGCGGTGGCGGGAGCCCCAGGCCGGGCAACCGCGGCGACCAAAGCGACCCCGCGAGGCTCAAGGAGGCCCAAGATGGTTTACAAACCTCGATCCTCGACTTTTGATCCCTCACCCCCGTCCCCGATCGCAAGCGACTGCGACTACGTTGTCAGCGACAACGACGACCGCGACCACAACCGCGACAATGGCGACGACGACAGTGACGACGAGGAACCCCGGTGGCCTCCAGAGATCTGACGACGACCACAACGACGATCGATTGACGACGGCCCGCGGTCTCCGCATATACCCAGAGCCAAAAGGCCTCCGGAGGCTCCGGAAAAGTACAACACGCCCCAGAATGTGCAATCGTCCGGTCGCGTCCACAGACGACGACCGCCACCACCACGATCATTATGACGACCACCACGGCGATCATCACGGCGGCGGCGGCCGCGGGGGCGGCGGCGGCGGCTTGGCGGCCCAGAGCCTCTGGGGCCCTCTTCGGCCACCGCGGCAGTCATGTCATTTGCGCGGTCTGGGAAACATTCGGAGCCTTCCGACGCGTTGCACGTCGATTTCGCACGGGTCCACGACCGCCCACATGATTGTAAGCTATCCCCCCAAAGGCCCAGCACCTTCAAGCGCCAAAAGAAGCCCTTTCTTTGTTGGGAGACTTCTCCTTTGGTATCTTAGGACCCGTGGATTAGCGCAGTGTTCACCGACAGCGATTGCGCAGTCGAGTAAAGCCTAAGCGCGCGTAGCGCGTTTGAGGTTCTAGTGCGTGTATGTTATTGAATCGGTTCGTTCATTCCGCCGGCCCTCGAGCGCTCTATGGGGCCTCATTGAAGCCTCTTGGGAGCCTCTTTGGGGCCTCCTAGGGGCCTCTTGGGGGCCTCTTGGGGGGCTCTTGGGTCTCCTTGGCGGCGTCTTGGGGCCCCCTTTGGCCTTTTGGGGGGCTATTGGGGGGCCTCTTGGGGCGGGGTAGTCGAGTGCACCCCCCTCGGAGGCCACGATCCTCATGAGGGGTGTCGAAAAAAAACCTTCAAAACCATCTCTGAGTAGACCTGGTCGGGCTGCGGTCGGGATACTTTTCGCCAGGGGACCCCCAGGGGCCGCCCCGTGCGCGCGAATTAGAAATACTGTTAACCAGTTACCGGAGATCTGTGCACGCCTCTGGCCCGCTGGGCCGGCGAATATACATAAATATTTAAATATACACACACGCATATATTTATATACATATATATACACAAATATGTATGTATATACGTTTGTTTGTATGTCTTTTTGTACGTAGTTATGTAGGTGAATATGTATGCACGCTTGTATGCGATGTATGCACATATGTATGCCTACATGTTTGTGTGTGCATGAAGCTTGGTGCTAACGATATCGCGGGGGGGGCTTACTGATTGCTTCTTGCAGTGAGGTGAATATCGTTGGTCGGAAATTCTAGAGTGCATATGCACGCATCGGAGGCATCAAGGGGGCACGTGACATGTCTTTGTCACCATTGCATCCGTAGCCTGTTGGACCCAAGAGGCGCGATTTGAGGGAGTGCCATGGCGTCGGGTCCGGTGACTGGCGAAGCAGCGCGAACGCGATGCTGCCGTGAATTGTTGGAGCTTGGCGGACGAGGTCGGGTTCGGGGCCAGGGTCGGCGCGGGTGGCGGAGAGTGGCGGATCTCTTGCGACGCGTACCGACCGACCGACCGACGACCGCGACGACGACCGACCGACCGACGGACCGACGACAATCAGCTGACCGACAATCCGACGGATCGACCGACCGACCGACGACCGACGCCGAAAACGACAACCGACCAACGCGACCGACGACCGACCACGACGACGGACCAACCGACCCACCGAGGACCGACGACGGAGGACCGACGACGACCGAGCGACCCGAAACCGACCGACGGACGCATTGCCCGTGATGATGACGACCCACGACGAGCCGAAGTGGAATCGGAACCGATCGACATTGGAATCGAGTCGCGTCGAAGGGGTCGACGCGAGCACGCCGCGCACGCAGCGACGCGACGCGACGCGACGCCGCCTCGGCATCGGCTTCCGGACGGCTCGGCCTTGCGCAGCCTTCGGCCAGGCGCGCTCCGTGGCTGCCCGGGAGCGCGACGCGGCCCGCGAGGCGCCGCCGCCCTTCGTCTTCAAAGGCAACGACGAGGGGGATAGGTTCGATGGGCAGGTTCGAGGTCCGAGATTCGGCGTTTCTTCAGCAGCCTCGGGATGCGTTCCAGCAGCTGCGTCTCGCCGGGAGGCGTCAGGGGGGTCCCAGATCCTCCCGAACGGCCACCGGGGACCCGAGTTACGACCTGAACGCCGGACGACGGGGATCACTGGGGGAGGAATGTGCTCAGGGGGGGGGGCGCATCGACCCCCAACCGCCCGTTCGAAACTTTTCGAGGTTTCCGAAGGTTCGGAGTATTTCGAAACACCGGGTGGTTTCCGTCACCTGCGCCCCCTCTCCGAAAAGCGATTGGGGCTGAGCGGATTTTCCCGACATTGTCACGGGAAGCCCGAGCTGCTTTGCACCCGAAAACCACCCACGGGGAGGAGATAATTAGGTTCAGCGAAGAACGCATCGACCCCCAATCGCCCAATCATCGCCGACAGGGGCCCGATAGCCCTCCCCGCTCAGAAACGTGCTGTTGGGCATATCGCCGATCCATCGGCGATGTGCCGCCGATTCAAACTCGATGTTTCCCCGGAACCAGTCCCCCCTACCGTTGACCCTCATCTTTCGCTCCCCGGGAGGGACAACAGCCCAGACACGTTCGCGTCACCGTAAAACGCGACGGAGGTTTTTTTTGGCAGTGTTCAACGTCTGGGGGGCTTCGCTGGCCCTGGGATTGGTCAAAGACGACCAGGGATGAAACACCGGCCCCGGGGTAATGGCCGGGACATTCGGGGATCGAGCGGTGGCAAAAATCAAGGTTCGCGCGGTCGGGAGGGTGTTAACGATTTGCCGCCATGGGGAGCCCGTCAGCGTGCTACTCCATTTTTCGTGTGGTGCGCAAGCCTTGTGTTTCATCCACAGGAGGGCGCCGATGGCGCGGCGGCATGCTATGGATGTGGCTTTGCCCCCCCAGCTCTGGCCCGCCGCCGCCCCCCTCGCCGGCTGAGGGGGTGCGCAGGCCCGCACCCTCCTCGCCAGGCGGCGCACCCCCACCTGCCCTCTGACGGCCCTCCCTCGCACCCCGCGATGCCTCTCGAGGCGAGTAACCCAGTCGGGGGCAGGGGGCAGGGTGCATGAGGGGGTGGCCAAAGAGTGCGGGCGAGGAGGGGGCCCTCGGACTTCCGGCGGAGGTTTTTAGCCGCCCTCGGCCTGCCTCGAGGAGGGGGCCGCTGACCCGAGACCTCGGGCGGAGGTTGTTTCAGCCGTCTTCGGCCTAGCGGCAGTCGGTGGTTCACAGATGGGGCCCTCAGAGATGGGGTCCTAAAGATGGAAAGGGACCGGGGGGGATCTCCGCTGCTTGAGGCACCTCGCCCTCAGGACCCCATCCCTCAGGACCCCATTTTGGAATCACCGAGGGAGGGCCTTCGGCCTGGCCCAACGGACCGTCATGAAGCGGTCTGGGATGGAAAGAAGCCTCGGCATCGCTCGGACGTGCATTTTTTCACGGCCAAGGCCGTCGGGGAGCATGTTGGACCATCCTGCCAGAAAAGACGCGCACGAAGCCGACAAGCGCATGGGGAACGGATGTCCGAGCGGCGGAAACGGTCGGAGCTTCCGGGGGCCCCGCCTCGAAAGAAGCACGCCATCGGAGCCCTGCGGAGCGACGGGCGCTCGATGCCTCGAGGAGCGGTGCCTTTTCCTAGCTTTCCTCGGTCTATTTTGCGGGGCCTTATGGGCGCCCCCTCGCCGGCACGGCAGGATGCGCCTAGGCCGTCTGACCGGGGGGCATTCCCGGGGAGGTCCAGGGCCCGATGTTGTCAGCCCCAGGGTGGCCGTACTCGAATGATGCAGTGCAGACCCATTCCCAGAAACACCCTTCCGCCTCCAGGGTGCCCTGGGTTTCTTGGATTTCGATGGTGTTGCTATGGAGAGCGTGATGCTCCCACACCGAAAAATCAAAGGACGTCCCAGGGTCTCAGGTTTGTGGGTTTCTTGTGGAAGGTTTCTTGTGGTTGGGCCCCTACTGTAAGAACCACAGTGAGCGCAAGCTTTCGGAGGTCCGCGCGGATTTTCCCTGGGCGGCGCCCGATACCCCCGCGCGCAAGCCAGGTGCGTCCGGCGCCGATCCAAGAAGAAATCAGCGCGGACCTCCCAAAACTTATGCTGGTCGTGACTCGGGCAACTACTGGGGCGATCAAAGTTCGGACGGGGCCGCTCGAGCAGGGCGCGGGCCCGACCAGGCTCGGGCAGGGCGAGGCGGACTCGCCCGTGTTTCCACAGCCGTCACGTCGGGCGGGCGTTTTTTCCGCGTGCACGCGAAGGTCGCCTTTACCCCTCTCCCCACGATTTGGTCCGTGGGCCTGGTCTCCCAGAGGAGTGCGCTCGCCCTCGAGCAACAGACACCCCGAGAGGCGGAGCGAGAGGCCCGTGGAGAACGGGCGCTCGTGACCGCGATAGCGGAATCAACCATCGGAGCGGGCGGGAGACGCGCAGCGACAAGACTCGGCGGTGAGGGAGTGGGGGAAATGAGAAGGAGAAGGCCTTCTCAGAAGGCTCGGAAGTCCCCAGGCCTTCTGAGAAGTTTTCTGTATTTCTCCGAAGACACGAAAAACCTATCAGAAGGCGCGAGGGCTTCTGAGAAGCCCGCCGCCTTCTGAGAAGGTCTTCTCCTTTTCACTTCCTTTCTCGCCCGCCGCCGAAAGATAGGCATCAATGGCAGGCTGCCGCTGGGAACCCCGCCAGCGGCCGCCAGCGTTTTTCTCCGTCGCTTTTGTCCGAAGACGTGGCGAGTCTTCAACAGCACCACGTTGATGGCTTCCCTACGGCCTACGGCGGCGTGAAGAAAACCATACTACCCCGCAGAGCACCCTAATGTCAGCACATAGTGTTGATCGTGATGACTGCGCGAAACGGCTTATGCTGTCATAGGTTGTGGGGAGAAGTTTCAGGCGAAACGGCCTCTGTGGTGCCAAACTGTGAGGAAGTCTCACGCGAAATTGTTGTTGGTGCAATAGGTTGTAAGGAAGTTTTGGGTGAAATGGACTCGGTCACTTTACATTGCGAGGAAGTCTCAGGCGAAACGATTTCCGTTGTCCTATCTATAGTGTGAGGATGTCACAGTCGAAACTGTGTCTGTAACACTTCAAGGAAGTCTCAAGCGAAACGGCCTCGGTGGTTATTAGAAGGAAGTCTTAGGCGAAACAACTTCTGTGGTCACGAAATACGAGGAAATATCAAGCGAAACAACCTCGGTGGTCCTAATAGCGAAGCGCTCTAAAGCGAAACTGCTTCTGTGGTCATAGCTTACGAAGGGTTCTCAGGCGAAACGGCCTCGTTTTTTAGGATGAGAGAGTATCCAGCGAGATGGTGTCTCTGGTCCTACACTGTGAAGGAGTCATGGTCCTAACTTGCGAAAGAATCTCCAGGGAAACGTCATCGTTGGGCCTAGATTGTGAGGAGGGCATCCGCCAGTGGGTGACAGACCTATCGCTCTCTTGGGGCCCACGCGCCGCCCATAAACCCCGGCCAGGCTAGATACGGCCCGCGATTGGGCTGGCTCTCTTAGGGACCCCACTTAGCATTGGGCGCCCAGAAGTTCACAGCCGACGTTGCCGCGCGCCTCTGGCCCAAGCTGCAGTTGCCTCTAACGACGCAGCGGAAGATCTCACTACTGTGCAGGCCGTCGTCGATATCGAGAAATGTTCCGATTGCATTCCTTGGACCATGTTGCTGAGTGCGGGGAAGCACCGCTCATGTCCAGCGCGGTCACTTGTCCCAGCCGTGCGCGCGCGCATGAGTGTCAGAAGGATCTCGTAGGACCCGAGCTACCCAGATCAGATATGGGCGCCCCGAGAAGCACTGCTAACTAGGTCGCCGTTTCCCATGTTTCGCTTGAAGCGCGCGATGCCGTTGCCACCCGACTCTCTCTGCCGGCGCGTGGATTCGCTCAGCCGCACGGTAGACTTGCACGTTGATGATATTACTCTTGGCATCGTGGGGGCCACCCAGAGGGTCGCGGAGGCGGCTTGCAAGATGTTGGGACTTTGGTGCATGTCCCACGGGGCATGATCCTGCGGCCCGCTGTGCACACGATGAAACTTACGCGCAGTAGCGTTGGCATCGGCAGGCAGATTGCTGCCGGAGTGTCTCACCAGAGATTCCAAAACACATGGGCTTTAGAGATATTTGACAAGTTGTACCAAGGTTTGCCAACCAAGCGTTGCCATCGGCGATGCAGCACGGAGCGGGGGTTCATGTAGCCCCGCCAGCTGGTTTACACCAGGATCGACAACGTCGGCATGGTTGACATCATGAATGGAAGGAACTACGCACGAGGACCCGCAGATCGCGCGCTGAGCGCAACCGATATTGCAGTGGGCCCTTCTCGCGCGAGACGGATGCATCACGCGCGACATCATGCAGCATGCGTCGCGTAGGCAGGTATTCCGTGTGCCATCAACTCACAACTCATGGTCTGGAGTGGTTGGGACAATTGGTACCATGATACTAGCGCGCCACCTCCTCTGGAGGCGATCTCCCGCAGCCGCGCGCGCAGGTCGGCATTGAGGACGCGCATCTCCGTAACCGTGGGGTGTGGACCATCGACACGGCGAATGCCAACTGCTGGGACACATGCCTCAACCAGGTCGTTCACCAGACCTCCGCTGATGCGCTGTTGGTCCAGGAGCACAGCCTCCGCTGACGGCAGGTTGGAGGTCGCAGCTCAGCCTTGCGCACTCCACCCCGTTGGATCGCGCCTCTGGCGGCGTTGGCGTCCTCTGCCGTCGGCGCATCGGGTTTCACCCGCATGCGGACCTTGTGGCGGACGGTTTGCAGCATCGGTTGCAGGCCGCTTGGCTGGGTGCTGTCATGAAGGGCGGCCTCCACCTCTGCAGCATCTGGCTCTTCCACAGCCGAGGAGTGTCGGAGTCCAACTTGCACATCCTCGCGGAGGCTGCGGCGCTACTTGGTACCTTATCGGGGCCGTGGGTGATCGCCGGGGATTGGAATATCACTCCCGACATGCTCACGGCTACTGGCTGGCTGGACGTCGTCAAGGGCCGTATCATCTTGCCCGCTTTTCCCACGTGCAATGGCTCCACATACGACTTCTTCGTGGTCAGTCGGAGCATTGCGCATGCTGTTCTGGGGGTCGGTCGTATCGACGACGGCGGCTTCACACCGCACTTTCCGACCAGGCTGTACCTGGCCGGCGATGCTCGCCGCAAGGCGGTCCGCCGCTTAGTTCGGCCTCGGCGAGTCGACGGGGAGCTCCCTGCAGGCCCCCTGCTGGATCCCGCGCCGGGCGACTGGGAGGCCGACGACATTGCTGACGTGGCGCAGCTGGCAGCCGCCATCGACAACTGGCATCGCGCGGCACGCAGAACTTTCTCTTCGTTCTCTGGATTGCCCGCACCGTGGTTTCGACCGCGGTTCCGCTGGGAACCCGCCGCGGGGCAGCTTGCCCGGCGGTACGCTGGCGCTTCCATGGTCGCTGTTGCATGGCGGGAGTGCTCTGCGAGGGCGTTCGAGGTCGCTGCCATCCTCGGGCGACCGCAGCCCGCAGCTGCCGACGAGGTGCTGCTTGCACGCCATTGGTCACGAGTACTCGCTGCGACGCAGCGGGCGGGTCGGGCTCCTGGCGAGGTTTCTGAGGCCATGCGCGCTTGGGCAGCAGCTTTCGGCCATGCGCGGCAGTCCCGCGGCCCCACCGCCCTGCGCTCCCTCGCCGCCGAGGCCGCCAAGCATGCCCAGCGGATCGAGAGGGCTGTCTCCGGCGCACGCCTGGCCAGCTACCACGGCGCCCTCGCTGCCCCTGGCGGCTCCCGTGCTGCCCGGCCGTGGGCCTCCGCCCCAGGGGAGCTTGCATTCCGCTACGTCCGCGGCATCGGCGGCTGGTCGCGATCACCACTCGGGGACCCCCGCTGCGACGAGGACATCCCCGATGCGGACGACATGGATTCCGAGCCTCATGCAGACCGGGTCGAGGTGTCGATGGATGCCCGCAGTCATGCCGCCGTTGCCCTGCTCTCCGAGCAGTCCGCGCTCGACGCCGAGGCCGCCGGCTGGGCTGAGCAATGGGCAGTCCAGGAGGCATACCATGAACCGTTCTTCCCAGAACATCTGCTGTCTGCGCCTCAGCCGATCACGCTGCGGGCCTTGGACCAGGCCATTGCTTCCTTCCCCGTCCGCACAGGCCTCGGGGCCGACCGCCTGTCGCCGCGGGCCATCCAGCGGCTCCCCATCGCGGCCCGCATGCTGCTCATCCACATCTTGCTTGCCGCGGAGCGGCTGGGTGCGTGGACGGCCGCTTGCAACCTGGTGCTCATCGTTTTACTGCCAAAACCGGATGGCGGCTTGCGACCGATCGGCCTCTCCCCCACTCTTCATCCGCGTGTGGATGCGCAGCCCGGGCATGGGAAGCAGTCCATGCACTCCCATCGGTGTTCGGCAGCGCTGGTCGCGGGGCGCAGCGCGCGGCCTGGGCAGCCGCCTTTGCCGCCGAGGCCTCGGCAACCTCCGCGCGCCAGCACGTCGCCCCCCTCCTGGATCTAGCGAAGGCGTTCGAACGGGTGCCGCGCCACCTCGTGGCTGCAGCCGCAGCGCGTTTGGGCTTCGACTTGATCATCCTTCGCCTGTCACTGGCAGCTTACCGCTTGGCCCGGGCCATCGGTGTGGAAGGGTCATTTTCGTGCTTGCTCATCGCCACCCTCGGCCTTGCAGCGGGATCTGGCTTCGCCGCGCTCGAGCTCCAGATGCTGCTACACGAGTCCATGCTCATTGCGTCCTGGCGGTGGCCCTCATTGCGCCTTTACCTGTGCGTGGACGGCCTGACCATCACTGCCTCCGATTTCTCTGACGAAGCACTTGTGGCAGTGGCGCGTGGCGCGAACTTCTTCGTGGACATGTTCGAGCGCTGCCTCGTGCTCACGGTCTCGACGACGAAGTCGTTCGCGGTCGCGTCGAGGCCGAGCCTGGCAGCCAGGCTGCCCCGCATGTCCTGGCGACGTTTCTTGGTGCCGAGGCGTAGCGTGAAGATGCTTGGCACGGCGTATGCCGGCGGCCGCGCGCGGGCTATTGGCGTCCTCAAGACGCGCCTCAAGCAGCTCAAAATGCGCATTCCCAGAGTTCATGCCCTGCGCCGCCAGCGCGTGGACACCGCCCGCGTGGTGAAGGCCATCGGGAGCCCCAGCTGCACGGCGTGGACATACATCATTGGCGCGTCCAGCACGCATCTGCACAACATGCGCGTTGCAGCCCTCTGCGCCGCTCTGCCGCCTGGCGCGAGCCGCAACGTCGACGTCACTTTCGCCGTTCTGGATGCCGGTGGCGCCGCATTGGATCCGGCGCATGCTGCGCACGCCACGCCCCTCCGTCATTGGGGGTTGGCGTATTGGCAGGAGTGGGCACCCGCGCCAGAGTTCGACCACGTTTTCGAGGAGTCCCGGACCCGTCTCGAGAGGGTTGTTGCGACTGGCAGGTCGCCGTGGTCCGCCGTGGCTGGCCCTGTGGCCGCTGTTATCGCCGCGGCGTGGCGCCTCGGCTGGACTGGTTCCTCTCCGCGGCGATTCCTGGAGGACGTTGGCGAAACGGTTGACTTCCTGCTCATGTCCCCCGCCATGGCGTCGGCAGCTGTGCGCGGGTCCGTCGGCAGATGGCGGACCAAACGCGTGATCTCCATGATCCCGTCCATCGCCGCCAGCACGCCGGACCTGCCGACCGACGCGGGCGCGGACTCCTTCACGGCCCTCGTGGGGCGCCCCTTGGCGCGCCTGCTCAAGGGCCAGGGGCGCCCGCACAGCACCGTGTCGCAGTGGTCGGCCCCGTGCCGTTCGATGCTCCTGTCTGCTGCCACTGGCGGACAATGGCCCCAGGTGCGCCTCGCTCGGCTACGGCATGCCGACGTCGTTGACCTGGCCTGCCAGCTGTGCGGCGAGGCGCCGGGCACCCTCCTGCACCGCCGCTGCCGCGCTGCTTCGCTGCCGCCGGAGGGGTGGCCCGAGCCGCCCAGCGCGTGCTCGGACCTGCTGTCCGCGCTCCCGGAGGCCCGCGCGACGCTGCTCCGCGCGCGCGGACTGCTCACCCTTCGGCCGCCGCGGCCAGTGGCGCAGGAGGAGCTCGCCGCGCGCTGGTTCCCGGCCCCGCCCGACGAGACGCGCGCCGACCTGTCTTGGCACGCGGATGGGTCGATGAGGTTCGGCCCTCTATGGGAGCTCTGGCGCACGGGATGCGGCATCGTGGTCGTCTCTGGCTGCGGCGACCTAGTCGCATACGGTTGCGCCGTGCCCCCCCCCCCTGCGGTGGCGCTCGTGCTCTCCATCACCGTCGCGCCGCCCAGCATCCGCACGGACTGCCGGGCCATCCTGACTACTGCCGCGGCCGGCACGCTCCAGGCGACCCGGCCCACGCGCATGCTCGCGCAGCTGTGGTCGCGGGTGTCCGCGCTCTTGGACGGCGACACCTCGGAGCCTCTGGTGGCCGGGAGGCTCACCTGGATGCCGGCGCACGGCTCCGTTGCCAGCATCGGCGCAGCCAGGAGGTCCGACGGGCATGTCGTGACTGCGGTGGACTGGCGCGCGAATCGCCTGGCCGACGCTGCTGCCAAAGCGGCTGCGGGGTCCCCGCCAGAGTGCGCGGCGGGCGCGCAGCTCTTCGGGCAGGCGGAGTGTCCCGTGGCGCATGAGGGCGCGATCCTGGGGGCCGTCACCCACGCCGCATTCGCGAGCTGGTCGGGCCTGGCGGCGCCGTCCGGCGCGTCACGGTGCGCGACGCGGCCGCCATGCGGCGCCCGAGGGCGTTGGCTCGCGTGGGTGCCCCGCCGCAGCGCGCGCCGCTGGCACCGCGGCTGCCCGCGGGGGGGGCGCCGCCCCCGCCCGCCGCGCTGCCGCCCGCCGCGGCCGCCGCCGCTGGCCGCCCACGCGCGCCGGGGGCACGGCGCACGGCGCACGCCGCGGCAGCCCGCGCTGCTTCTGCTGCGCGCGCGGCCGCTGCCGGCGCGGCCACGCAGGCCATCTGCGAGGCGCGGGCGGCCGCGGCGCGGCCGTCGTCGGCGCCGCCAGCGGCCGAGCGGCTGGCTGCTGTCCGGGCGCGCGTCCTTGCCCGCGTCGGCCAGGGCGCCGCGGCGTAGCCCCGCTGCTGGGCTGCTGCGGGCGCCTGCCCCGGTGGGGTTCCGGGAGCCTGCATGGCGGCGGGCTGAGCCGGGCGCCCTCCTCCTCCTCCCTCCTCCTCCTCCTCCTCCTCCTCCTCCTCCTCCTCCCCCTCCTCCTCCGCCTCCCTTGTAATTAGGTGCATATGCTGCCGCGGGCACGCGTTGGCTGCGCTGTCGCCTCGGTTGTCTGGCCACCCAGGGATCTGGGGTAGAGATCGGTTTCGGTTTCAGCTTTCGCGTTTATAACGGATCTCAGTGACACGATTGACGTGCCATTTTACGTTCCTGCCAGTGTTCGGGAATTTGAGCGCTTGTTTGCGGTGCGATGTACGTGGGAGTCTTGGGCGAAGCGTCGCAATCCTGCTGATGAAGGCATGCGTCCCATGGAACCCCGAGGATACTGGTTGAAACCCGTCTTTGGCAGAATGCGATGCGCCCTCTGGAGCCCGAGGAGGTCCCTACTGACGATGACGAGAATGATGTGAATCATTCTACCTATTGGGATATGCTGATGACTGGTGCCGCCATGCTACGTGCCTTTGTCAATGCATGTTTCTGGTCCGGCAGACTAGGCGCGGATACGCGCGCACCTCTTGTTGCCCCGCGCGTGATTGTGAACACTGTGACGCGCGTCGTGTTGTTTGGGGATGCCTTGGACGGAGCCAGATATGGTCGGATAGGCTCGGCAGCGCAGACATGAGAGTTCCACCTCGCGTTGCAGGCTCTTGGCTCCAGAACGGCGGTCTGTCTGCGCGTTCGTGCTTCCATGCCGTACGGGGAAGAGACGATTCCCAGCGTTGGCACATCCAGTGCGGGACCCCGGACATCGTCACGGGGGACATTTTTACCGATGGGGCGCGTCGTAAAGTTTGGTTCTGGTTTCAAGCCAGACGGGCAGGATGGGGCCTCATGAAATATGATACCACCATCCGTCTGATGGTTTATATGGGCCCTGCCTGGGCCCATTCAGAGTTCGCCCAGGGTTGGGCTGCATGCGTTTCTTCACATTCTAAGGGCGCGTATCCTCCCGACACATGCACGCGCCGGCTTCCCAGGTATCCTGCGCGGATTTGCCGTGGGATTTGCTTTGTCTTGAGGGCCTCGGAGGCCCAAATTCGGACTTCTTAGATGCGATCTGGAGGTAAATTGATGACCTGGGAGGCCTTGGAGAGGCCCTGCAAGTCTCGCGCGTTCGAGGTCATTAAGGAGGATAACTGTATGTTGCGCGCACGCGCGCGCTAATTGGTGGGCCGGCACGGACGTCAGGTTTGGTAGAGATTTGCACGCCACCACTGAAGCTCAGGACGCGGCCGTGAAGATTGGCCTGAAATCTACTCGGCAAATTTTGAAGTGGATAGTGGCTGCGCGCCAGCATCATGCGCCCTTAGGCCGAACGGAAACGCTCGGTCGGTCGAATTAAGGCCAGGAAGAAAAGGGCACGGAGACCAAATGAAGTGCCTGAAGCCAACGCCGAGCTCAGACATGTGTTTCAACGGTTTCGTGGTCGCCGTTTGCGGCGGTGTTGCGACTGCAAGAAGGGAGCTGGCACCGAGGAGAGTCGTGGGCGTCTGTGTCGTTTGTCGCGTGGAGCTCGGCGTCACTTCCTTGGGGACCATGGCGCCGTCGGCGCTCCCGACGTTCCTGGGCGCCCCCCTGCTTCTGAGATTCAGGCCTCGGTGAACGACGGTAGGGGCAGTCGCCTGATGCGTTCCCTTTCGACAGGCGCCGAGGACGTCCGCGACGCAGTGATTCCCCCAAGGGCCCGACAGCCCCCTTGGCCTCGCTTTCGGATCTTGGACCTGGGGGGGGCAGGGGGCAACGAAAGCGCCGTGCCGACGAGGGCCCCAGAGGGACTTGTGACGCGATCGCCAGGCGCATTCCAAATCTCGCGCGTCCCAGGGGCGAAGATTTTCAGCGCGGCCCGGTCCGACCTAGAGTTGCGCTCTCTGAAGTTGTAACGTCCGCGTCAGGTGACAGCGGCACTTTGAGTCGGGCTGCTCAGCAGAGTGCACCTCGTCCGAAGACGAAGATGCTAACTTGCCACTCTTGGATGTTTTTGCGGCCCAGAGCATGCCTTCGATCAGTCCGAGCCCTGCTTTGGACCAGGTGCCCGAGGGCGCCCATCCCCACGAGGGTGGGTCCTGCCTTCTGTCCTGGCCAGCCTGCCAAGCGCAGGAGAACGGACGGCAGAACTGAAAGGCCCGTCATGGCCGATGTTATTGCCCCAGTTGCGGCCATGCCTGTCAGAGGCATAGCGCCGCCAGGGGCGGCAAGAGGACATCGCTGTGGAGTTTCGCCAGCTAGTGTGGTTTTGTGTGCGAGGTGCGGCCTCTACAGCACGGGAGTCGCAGGTCGCCCGGTTGTTGATTGCCACCCGCTGGAGCCGCGAGAGATGTCGAAGCGCGTTCTCCGCAACAGAAGGTTGTTTTTATCTTGTCGCCGTCCCGCCGACGAAGGAAGGCCCGATGGCCGTTATACTCCTGCCCCTCGGCCACTGTAGGCCGCGGACCCCGAAACCTTGTGGCTGAGACTCCGTGGGGCCGAGGGAGTTAAGTACTGATGTGGGCCGCAGCTGTTTGCCAGGCTGTGCAGCACGTATCCGTGCTCCGACCTGGTTCATTTCATCATTTCACTTTCACTGATCAGATGTGGACTCACGTTTCCTTGCCGATGCCTCGGCCGTTATCCTATGGGTGGGTCATGGGCATCTTACATAGTAAATGGCCTGCTTGGCAGGCCTTTGTTATGTGGCGGTCAGTGCACTGCGCGGCCGTTCCAGCTAGCGTCCAAACCTCCTCCCCCTCCGCTCCCTCTCTTGCTTCCACCCTTAGCCCTCCGACGTTTCCCACCCTCCCTGCCCCCCTACCCTCCCCCACCTGAACCGAACCCATGCGCACATTGGAGCCTCGTCGAAGCGCTGCCCTCCCCACCCTGGCCCTCGCCGCAGGGTGGGGGGCAGAAGAAAGGGCAGGTAGCTGAGGCTGTAGGGTAAGAGGCGCGCCAAAGGGAGGGGGCCCCTCCACTGTGCCCCCCTCCACCTCCCGTCTCTCCTCACCTGGCCCTGGGGGTTTCCGAGCCCTCCGACTCTGGGGCCCACCTGGGGCCCCCAGGAGCTGCGCGAGTCCAGTCGTCGCGCCGCCTTTGGGCGCCGTTCCCGGCCGGCCGCCCGCCCCCACTCCGCCTCCCCCTCCCTTTTTGTCCATCCCTCCCCTTGTCCCCTCCCCGCTCTCCCTCGCCATCCACCCCTGCCCTCGCATTCCCTCTTCCATCCTGTACAGTCAAGACGTTGAGGCGAAGACCTCCTCGGTGGTTTTCGTGGGCCGGTCCCGTGGAGACCTGGGGCGGGGAGCTTCTTTTCGTGGCCGAGGCCGGTCGTGGCCAGGAAAGACTCCTTCTCTCCTTGTTCGGCGTTCCCCTAGGTGGCGCGAGGACTCTTCAGATGAAGCCGGGACGAGGATAGAATCGGGTGAGGATAAGTCCAGAGTCTCTGAGATCTGGCGGCTCTGGAGGATGTTTAGGACGCCGCGGCCGCCTTCTCAGAGCGTTCTCCCCCCCGCCTCCTTCAAGGAGGCGGGGGGGAGAGATGGACGTGGGAGGCATGCAGTCCTCGCGGGGAGGGCAAGAGGGAGCCAGGGAGCGGGGAGGGAGGGGGAGGGGGGCGGGAGACGGGAAAGGGGAGAAGCGAGAGGGACAGGGGACGGCGAAGGGACAGAGGGAGCGGGGGAGGAGGCTCCGTCCCCGCTGCCTTGGCGCCTCCGCCCTCCCCTCTCTCCATGGAGCGACGCTCTGAGGCGCAGGTCGCGCTGTTGCAGCAGAGGGCCCACCGGGTGGAGCTGCAGAGGCAGAGCTGCCTGCGCACCTGCAGGGCGACGGGGGGGGGTCCTTCTCGTGCTCCTCCTCCACCTGGTCGTCGTCCTCCTCCGTTCCTCCTCATCCTCCTCGACCTCGTCGTCGTCGCCGAAGTCGAGGATGAGGTGGATGAGGAGAAAACAAGGAACCCCGACCTCGTCGTCGTTCTCCTGGATGTCGCCCTCGTCCTGGTCGTCGACGTCGTCGTCCTCCACATTCTCGACCTCGTCGTTGTCCCCCTGCTCCTCCTCCTTGTCCACCTCCTCCTCCTCCTCCTCCTCGAAGGAGGATCGAGGATGGAGGCTCCCAGAGGCCTCTCTGAGGCCCCAGGAGGCGGGGAGGATGACGTGGAGGCAGAGGGAGGACCAGAGTCGATTCAAGACGTACATGCGGCGTTGCACTGCCCCCCTCCCGTCCCGCGCTCCCTCCTCGTAAGCCACTGCAGGTAAGGCCTGACCGAGGTACGAGATCGAGGTCGGTTCGGGGAGGGTACCCCCATGCTCTCTTCGTGCCTCTACGATGCTCCTGTGCATCCCAGGGAAAGGTACCATCGGCTATCTCATTTGTGGGGGGTGGTTTGGCCGGCGGAGGGTTCTCATGCTCTCGAAGGGTGCTCCTCTGTCTTGGGTCTGGCCGTACAGGTATTCCCATCCGTGGCGGGCACGCCGCGCGGGCCTGCCATTCAGGCGAGGCCCTGTGTTGGTGAAGGATTCGACCTCCATCCTCCTGGCAGTGCGAATTGTGATGAGGCAGGGCCATACTGGTGAGGGAAGTGTCTGGCGAGAGCTTCGTTGTGACGAGATTGTGCACCGCCCCTGGGGGTGGGTGGATGGCAGCGCTGATTACCAGCCCTCATGTCAAAGGCGTCAACATCAGGGGGAAGAGAACCAATGGCAAACGGGTAAAAGGAGAAGCCGGGCGCGCTCGCGCCACATCTGACAACCCTGGCCACCGCAAAGTCGTGGAACCACGAATTGCACGCTGGCCTCCAACACACCGTGTGGATCGCTCAATCATGAACCATCGCGGCCTCCCGACAGCGCGGATCGAAGGTCAGAGTTTCAAAGGTCTTGTGCTACAGGTCGATTAGTTATCCAGCGAGGGAGCCCCACTTCTGAAGGATCTGCCCTCCATCAGTGCAACTGTTGCACAATCGTGAAGGTCGAGTCGCAACAAATGCAAACGTGTAAAGTGAAAGCCCCAACTCGAAAAGGAGTGTTTATCCATCTTTGTAGCTGCTGTAACACAGTGCGAAAAAATGCGCGGCGCCAAAAAGATACCCCCCTTTAAAAACATATCTGGCCGAACGATCCAACCATCTGCAGTTGTGAGTGTCGCGTTTAGGGGTACCGACCGCTGTCGGTGGAGCTTTCATGGGGCCGCGAAACGTGTGTGGGTGTGCCGAAACGGGTGCGGTGGTGCCATGCGGGCGTTGCCATTGGGGCCTTCGGTGGAGCTCCTCATGGAGCCACGAAGCGTGTGAAGGGTGTGCCGAAACAGGTGCGGTGGTACTATGCGGGTGTTGCCACTGGAGCCTCAGCCAGAGCTTCCCATGGGCACACGAAGCGTGTGCGGGGCGTGCCGAAACGGGTGCGGTGGTGCTTTGTGAGCGTTGCCACTGCAGCCTTAGGTGGAGCTCCCTATGGGATCACGAAGCGTGTGCGGGGTGTGTCGAAACGGGTGCGGTGGTGCGTGGTGCCTTGCGAGCACTGGCATTGAGGCCGTCGGTGGAGCACGCGATGGGGCCACGAAGCGTGTGAGGGGCGTGCCAAAACGGGTGCGGTGTTGCCTTGCGCGTGTTGTGACTGGGGCCTTCTTTCGGTGGAGCTCCTTATGGGGCCACGAAGCGTGTGAGGGGTGTGCAGGAAGGGTGCGGTGGTGCCACCATATGGTCGTTGCCACTGGGGCCTTCGGTGGAGCTCCCCATGGTGCCACGAAGCATGTGAGGGGTGTGCCGAAAGGATGCGGTGGTGCCATACTGGTACGCGTGTTTCCACTGCTGGAGCCTTAGGTTGAGCTCCTTATAGGGCCACGAAGCGAGTTAGGGGTGTGCCGAATTGGGAGTGGTGGTGCCATGTGGGCGTTGCCACTCGGACGGTCGATGGAGCTCCTCATGGGGCCACGAAACGTGTGAAGGGTGTGCCGAAACGGGTGCGGTGGTGCCATGCGGTCGTTGCCACTCGAGCTTTAGGTGGAGCTCCTTGTGGGGTCACGAATCGTGTGACGAGCGTGCCGAAACGGGTGCGGTGGTGCTTGGCCTACGGACGCGTCAAGGTGGAGCTACCACTAAGGAAGCATGATGCAGGGAAGGGGAGGCGCCGCTGACTGCAGATTCCCCTCGCCTCTCTCCTCGCCTCCGCTGGGTGTCTCCCCTCGTCTCTCCTTCCTCCCGGTGCAGCCGCCCCTTCGTTATTCCCCCCGCCATCGGCTACCTGATATCCAGCAATTCCGTAAGGCCTGATGTAAGCCGGGCGGTCCCCAGTCCAGGCAGAACCACCCGCGGCCACCAGCCACGATGATGGTGATGACGATGACGACGACGATAACGAGGGTCATGGCGATATTGATGGTGATGATGATGTTGTTGATGATAATGATGATGATGATGATGGTGATGATGATGATGATAATGATAATGATGTTGATGATGACGATGATGGTGATCATGATCATGATGATGATGCTGGTGATGGTGATGGTGATGATCATGTTGATGCTGATGCTGATGGTGATGCTGATGATGGTTATGATGATGATGTTGGTGGTGGTGCTGATGATGATGGTGGTGGTGATGATTGTGGTGGTGGTGCTGATGATGATGAGAATATGATGAGATGGTGATGAGGATGATGATGAGGATGATGATGACGATGCTGACGATGATGGTGCTGGTGGCGATGCTGATGCTGCTGATGATGGTGATGATGATGGTAATGGTGATAGTGTTGGCGATGGTGATGATGATCATCATCAGCATGCTGATGGTGAAGAGGATGATGATGATAGTGATGATGACGATGATGGTGATGGTGATCATGATCATGATTATGATGGTGGTGATGGTGATGGTGGTGGTGATGATGGTGATGCTAATGCTGATGGTGATAATGATGATGGCGGTGGTGGTGCTGATGATGATGATGGTGGTGGTGATTCTGGTGGTGGCGGTGACGATGATGATGATGATAGTATGATGGGGTGATGATACGGATGATGATAACGAGTGATGATAACGAGTGATGACGATGGTGATGATGATGTTGTTGGTGATGATGATACTGCTGATGGTGGTGGTGATGATGACGATGGCAATGGTGATAGTGTTGGTGATGGTGATGGTGATGGTGATCAGCATCATCATCATGTTGATGTTGAAGAAGAAAAAGATGATGATGATGGTGATGATGATGATGATGATGATGATGATGATGATGATGATGATGATGATGATGATGATGATGATGATGAGTGTGTTGGTGATGGTGGTCCTGGCGGTGTTTGTGATGATGGTGACAATGCTTTTGGTGTCGATTGCGACGAGTGTCATGCTCATGATGATCATGATGAGGATGCTGATGACGACAACGCTAATGCATGCGATGGTGGTTATGACGATGATGACGATGTTTGCAGTGATAGTGATGACGATGAGGATGGTACTGCTGATTAGGGTGGTGATGCTGATGGTGATGGTGATAGTGGTGGTGGTGATTGTCATGGTGATGGCGGTGGTGGTGAGGATGGTGGTGGTGATGGTGATGGCTGTGGTGGTCGTGAGGAGGTGACGGCGATGATGGTGGTGGTGGTTTGTTTTCGGTTGTGTTTCTAGAGCCATAGAACCATGTATATCGGGCATCCCCTCCTCTATCGTCCTCCTCTTGCTTGGCCGGTCTGCGGGTCTATCTGCCAACCTTGCAGATGAGTCCGTTGCCCATCCTAGCACGTGATGAGGCAAAGAAGGTCGATCAGCGGACAATGGCAGGCATCGCTTACTTGATTGTTCCTTTTCCCTCCAGCCTTTTCCCTCCTCCCTCCTCCTCTATCCCTTCCTCCCCCTCCTGCTCCTCCTCCCCCTACCTCCTCGTCTCTCCCTCCTCACCCGCCTCCTCTCCCTCCTCCCCCTCCTCTCTTCCTCCTCGGCGCAGGGAATGCCTTTCCGTCCTCCCTCCTCCTTTGCCTCCTGCTCCTTCCCCTCCCCCTCCTCGAGAACGGGGGATTGTGGAGTCGCAGGGGTTCAAAAGCGCGCGCGCGAGGCTTTCGCGCTGAGTTCGCGACTGTTTCTGTGCAAACTGTGCTCTGTGTCGTCCTCCTCCTTCTCCTCCTCCTCCTCCGCCTCCTCCTCCTCCTCCTCCTCCTCCCTCTCCTCCTCCTCCTCCTCCTCCCTCTCTCCCTTTTTTCTCTCTTGGTGCCCCCCCTCCCCAAAAAAAGAACAACAAAACAAAATCGGACTTGAGATTCGCGGACTTGTTTTTCCCATTTGTTTGTTGGGGGGGGGGGTCGGCGGCGAAAAAAAAGGAATGCGACGTGGCCTCATGTGCCCTCCCCCTAGAAGGATTCCTATTGAATGCCCTCGCTAGAAAGATTCATAGTGAAATCCTCGACAGAAGGGTTCCTATCGAAACCCTCCACCGAATGATTCATACTGAAATCCTCCACATCTGGATTCCTACTGAAACCCTCCACTGAATGATTCCTACTGAAATCCTCGAATGGCAATGGCAATGGCAATGGTAATGGTAATGACAGTGGTAATGGTAATGGTACTGGTAATGGTAATGGTAACGGTAATGATACTGGTAACGGGGTAGTGATTGGCAATGACAATGGCAATGGCAACGGTAATGGTAATGGCAATGGCAATGGCAATGACAATGGCAATGGCAATGGTAATGGCCATGGCAATGGTAATGGTAATGGTAAAGGTAAAGGTAATGGTAATGGTAAAGGTAATGGTAATTGGAATTTTCCCTCTCTGCCTGGTTTTTCTCCTGGTGCCCCCTCAATAAAAAAAGAAAAA